GAGGCAAAGATATCTAGCGATGAGCAGATAATGTATTTGTCGAGAGTACAAGATTATGTGGAAGCAAAAAGAACTGCTAGATCTTCAAGGTATAGAAATATAGTATAGATGTTTTAGATTCTACCTACAGCAATCCCTTAAAGGTAAAGCTAAAGACGGTTAGGATTCCCTAGAATATGAATCATCTAAGAGCTGTCTTTCAAAGATACTCCCAAACTGCCATCAAACTAGAACTCTCCCATGAGGAATAACCCTCTGCCAAATCTCAGCTTAGAGTATTCCCCGCCTCGACCTGCTCCAGCTGCCTTTCTGCTTTTTTCTTCTTTTTTTTTTTTGTTATTTCATATAAGAAACATATGTATGTATACAGCGTGTATACATATATATGTATGTATGTACATGTATAGTACGTATGTATATATAGTATTGTATCTATAAAAGTTGACTTGGCGCGCGCGCGCCAGCAACAAAGTATATATTTGTTGTAGAAGCCCGAAGTCCGGAGAAGCAGCGAGGGGGGGGGGGGGGGGGGGGAGGGCAAAAGTGGGCAAACTAGTTTTTTGGTATCCGAGCATCCGTTGGATCGGATCGGATCGGATCGGTGGGGCTCAGGTTGTAGATTGTTGTTGCTGTTGTTGCTGCTGTTGCTTTGAGGCATTTTTCTCAATGGAGCTGCCTCTCAGATTGTAGACTTGGGCATTTTTTTAGGTGAATAATTGCGGTATGTTATTTTTTATGCAAATATTTCGTATACGAGTGGAGTATACGTGTACGTGTGTGTGTGTGTGTGTGCGTAGATGTCTGTGGCATCCAGACACACTTAACCGATATATATTTATATATGGCCATTGTTGCTGTTGTGGTTTGTTGTGGATCTTGATGTCTACTCTCTTTCAGTATTTGTTTGATATTTTTTATGATTATTTTTGGTTTTTTTTTTCTTTCTGTTGGCCTTTGGATTCACATTGAATAATTTCTATTTTTAGCATAAAGTGGAGAGTGGCAGAAGGGAGGGAGGGAGGTAAGGCAGCGAGGGAGGGGTGCAAACATAAATTGAAATTATGAAAACATGATATGCGCGAATCAAGGGAACACCGATTCGATTATGGGATTAAACATGATTTTTGTTTGTTTTATTTTCAGAATAAATGAGCGATCATAGATCGACGAAAAGGAAGAATTCTCATCATTTTAAAAACTTAAAAGACATTTGAGGATCATTGATTGTTGCACAGATCTAAGAGATCATTATGAAGATCCATTCGGGAGAAATTCTGATCATTAGATATTCCCAGAATCCCCCGGAACAAACTAGAGAGAAGATCTCTATCGATCAATTAGCGATCGCATGTACTACAGCAATTCATTCACAAGAATCGAATCGAATCGAATCGAAGGGAGAGTTGAGATCCCATTATGAACGGGCGGTTTCATTCACAAGATTCAGCGGATCGGCCCAATCGGCTATCGGCTATCGGCCAAAGAATTGATTATTTCTGTGAATGGAAAAATACTCGTGTGAATAAATTGACTCGTACTGAATGGCAGATCAATGATCAAGCTGAAAACTAGTTCCAATCGAAAGATACAAATTGTGGCAAGCAGGCTAGTATCTCGCATCCGATGGATGCATGGATTAGCATAAAGATGCCATAAATTGCCATCAAGGGTGTGGTTCGGTTCGGTTCGATTCGATCTCATAGATTGATAGATATTCGATTGCAAAACCCCTGCATTAAGTATACGCACTGAAGGCCCTACCAAAGAAACACACAAACAGCTAAGAAAAGGTTTTGCTGTGGCCTAAAAAGCATTTTCACACCTGGCTGCATTCAACGCCCACCGAATCCCACAGAATCTTAACGTGGCCAAGACCCCAGACCCCAGGCAGAGAGGAAGGAAAGGGAAAGAGTTGCGTTTGCGTTTGTGTTTGTGGCACGCTTGATTTGTTTATGCATTTCCCAGTCAATTGGAATTTGTGGCATCGGTTGCCGTCTGAGAATCCCCCTTCACCTATCCAATGCTTCTCCATCCACTTTTGGCCATGCCACGCGCATGCCACTCCATCGACTTCGGCATCGACATCGACATCGAGTTGTTTAGGCCAAATATGCGTGGCTGATGGCTGATGGCCGATGCCTGATCTGTTTGTATATGGCCAACAAATTGCTGTGGCAGCGATGCTTGTAGCTGTTCTGTTGTTTGGCTTTGCTTTGCCCATTCATACATGGCATTCGAGGCGTTCGCTCATTCATTCATTCACCCGTTCATTCATGGATTGACTTGCTCAGCGAAGCGAGAAGCTGACGTCGTTGCTCATCCAGCGTTTACGTTTCCATTCATTCATTCGTTCATTCGCTTGGTCTGCACATGCTGCCCCTTTCCCCTTTCCCCTTTCCCCGCCCTACCCCTACCCTCTACTCGCACACTTCTACTCCCCTCCCTTGCCCCTGCTCTGCACCCCTTTTATCCATCAGGCACACCATTATCATCATCATCATCATCGGCATCGTAGTCGTCGTCGTCGTCGTCGTCGTCGTCGTGGTCGTGGTCGTATTTCATTCATGAATTTTCTTTCATTCAGCTTTGGCCTCACTCCTCAACTCCCTCCCCACTTCTTTCTCCCTCTCTATGCCTCTCTCTCTCTCTCTCTTTCACTCTTGTTCTATCTCTCTGTCTCTCTTTGTGTGTTGTTGTTGAAAACGTTTTTAAATACCGGAACTGAATGTTTAGCGCTTTTAAGCATGGGAACTTTTTGTTTTCTTCCATTCAACTTTTCTCTCTGCACCCAACCTCCTTCCCCTTCCACTTCCACGTACCCTTCCTCCTCGCTCTATCTCTATTTCTCCCTCTCTCTCTTTGCCTTTTGTGGATCTCTATTCCGTTCCGTTCTCGTATAAGGCATCGTTTTGTTTTTTGTTTTTTTTTTTATTGCAAGTTTCCAAACAACAGGAATCTCTCTTCTGGATTATATTTTAGGTGTTTTTTTTTGTTTTTTTTTATATGCGTTCCAAAAATTTATTGCAGACATTTGGATTTCAAAATTTATGGGCCAAAGATCAGATCAGAGTCAGGAGGAGGAGAAGGACGGGGATCTAAAGAGCACTAGAAGGGTAGATCAGCTGTGGTGTGAATGAACGATGGATAGATCGTGATGCTAGACAAGGTGGTTAGAATCCGTGTGATTTCCTTGCTCATTCATTCTGAAAATCCCCATTAAGAATCCCTCATGGCTCCCTATGGCTCTTTAATCTCTGTTTTCCGTACAGGGTATCCCAAAGTCGTATTTGTAGCATTCGTAGCCCCATTTCTGGCTTGTTTATACTGTCAATATTTTCCTTTTGATTGCTGTTGATATTTCACGCCTTGGCCCCATGGGCAACAACAACAGCCAGACAACGACTTTAGGGAGTGTTTTTTGTCATATGACATTAGACATAATAGATATCTGATACATGATATATGTCCCTCTCTCTCTCTCTCTGTCTATCTGCCAAACGCTTGATTTATGGCCAAAGAATGAGGCAAACAATAGTCCCCGACTTGACCTATGATCCAGAATTCCGAATTCAGAATTCCGAATTCAGAATCCAGAATTCGCATTGTAATGGATTTCATTGGAAAGATGAAAGATCTCAATCGCTGAGGAGGGATACTCGCACGATCTGTTCTGAGCCGTTCTGATGCTCTGATGTGACGTGATGGGTGGTTCCGGGCTTAGCATTAAAACGGTTCTTAGTCATGCTTTCGGGGTTTGGGGCTCGGGGCAACAGCATTGAACTCTTGACCCGCTCTTGTTGGCTAATTGGTTTAGGGTATATCGGGTACCGCAATTGCGAGTGCTCTCCGAGTCCCCGATCTTCGACTTTAATTAATCAAATGCTACGACTACGAAGCAGCAGCAGCAGCAGTAGCAGTGGCAGCAGCAATGCTCGGATCAGAGTCAGAGTCAGATCTCTGCTGGTCGGGGGCTGCAAACAACTTTCATTTTTCATCTAGAGCGAGTGCGAGTGCGAGTGCTAGTGTACTGCTGCTCGTATCTGCTGCAATTAAATGTGCCATATGCGTGCCACCGATCGAAGCAGCAGCAGCAGCAGCAGTAGCGTATGGGCAGCGCCTATATAGTAGCTTTGGCTTTGGTGGGTGTCAAGTGTAATGTTTAATGTGTAATGGGGTATAGGGCGGCAGCTAAATATAGCCAAGCCCCGGAGTTGGGGTTAGTCTCTCTCTCTGTCTCTCTCTCTCTCTCTCTCTCTCTCTCTCTCTACCTCTACCTCTGCCTCTATCTCTGTCTCTATCTCTTTCAATATACGATCTATACGACTATAGTGGGGGAACCCAGCCCAAAAAAAGTTGCATTGCAAAACCTGATGTTGCGCTGTGGCGTTGCTGTTGCTGTTGTTTTTGCCATCGTTGCCGTTGATACTTATTGCTGGCGTGGGCAACTTACAAATGGCAACAGCTACGGCAACAGCAACAGCAACAACAACAACCAGTTGACTGGAGGCAAGCCGTTGAGCAGGTGTCTGCTGCTGCTGCTGCTGCTGACGACGTTACCTGCATTATGCAACCTGCCATTGCCAGTCGTTGCTGTTGTTGCTTTTGTTGTTTTTGCATAGATCAATACAAAATAGCAAGAGAGATACATACCCTTTAGATGGTTAGATACCCTTGAAGCTACATAAGTTGTACGGGGGGACTAGGGTGGGATTGAAGTGGGATTATCTTTGGTCATAGCTTCGACTTGTACATATCTTCTTTCTGCTTTACAAGGAAGGATCAGATCAGTGTTTCGGGTCTGCAAACATCTCTTCAGGCATACTCTTAAAGAGTATCCGAGGAACATGTTGCAGCAGCACTACCATTCCCATTCCCACTACCATTACCCCGACCACGACCACTAGCTCTAGCAATAGCTATTAGCCAGGCCAATGCCAGCTTGAATATCTATCTAGGTTTAATAATTATTTGATTAGGTATTCTTGGATTCAATCACTCACCCCCACTTGGTAGAGTATGCGCAGGTCCTTCTCCTTGTGGCCGTGTTTGCTGTTGGCCAAACGATGTTGCTGCTGCTGTTTCTGCAACATTTGACGTGCCTTCCGTCGGGACTCGGCCAAGTCCTGCTGCTGTTGTTGCTGTTGCTGCTTTTGCTGCTGTTTTTCCTTCTGCTGAAGGTCTGGCGGTGCTGCTGAGATGCTCACTACAGTTAGTGGCTCTGTGGCAGGCTTGGGCGTGCTGCTACTGCTGCTGCTGCTGCTGCTGCTGCTGCTGGTGGAGAGTATTGCTTTTGTTGCAACATCTTTGGCATCGTAAATGGTGTACTCCAGGCTCTTGTGCGCCGCTGCCCCCGTGGCCGTGGTCGGCGTCAGTTCGTACACCTCGAGGGGGAGGCGCGTGCCCCGTGCGACCAAGGGCAGGAGGAGCAGCCACATGAATATTATTGAATGCATGATTCCCCGTTGTCGCTCTCTCCGTTTCTCTCTGTGTATTTTTTTTTTTTTTTGTTATGGTGTGGTTGTAATTGACACTCGATGGAAATCGTAATTGAAATTGAAATTGAATCAATTCAAAGCTGTCTCTTTCCCTTTCTTTCCTCCTCTGTCTCTGTTTCTGACTCTGTCTCTTTCGGATCAGATTTGCTGGTTGGACAGTTTGTGCCGCCAAGAACCTGGCCCCTGGCCCATGGGGCACAGACACAGATACAGAGCTACAGACACCACAGACACACTCTATCTATCGGTTGACTAAAAAAAAAAATCAGGTTTCGAATCGATCAATCGATTGAATGTCACTGCTTTTGAAACACTTTCTTGGTTTTATCGAACACTCGCGACATTTGATCCTCCTCTGATCCAATCCGATCTGTTCCGATCCGATCCTCACTCTCTTGCAAGTTTCGTCTCTTTCGCTCGACTCTCGACTCCTGGCAAAGTCCTCGTCTTGGCTTCGCTCCTGCTCTTCGGTTTCTTTCGTTTCTGTACGGTTCGTTCTCAGTTCTGGCTCGTATTTCTTCTGTTCGTGGTATGGTATTCGTTTCTGTTCTGTTCGTCTGCTCGCGACCAATTCACTTTTCGAAGTGATCAAACGGAAAAACGAGCTGCTGCATGTCGGCGGTGTCGGTGCTTGTCGCTGCTTGCTTGCTTGCTTGTTTATTCAAGTCCGCTCACGAGAGCGGAGCGTGGAAGCATCAGAGGCAGCGCGAGGGAGAGAGAGAGAGAGAGAGAACAGAGCAGAGCAGAGCAGCGACGCGACGCAGGCACGCCATGAATGAATGAACATGTTGTTCAGGGTATATTCAGTGGAAGGTAGGGCGGAACGGCTCTCAAGCTAGCCTCTTTTCACTCTCTCTATCTCTCTCTCTGGCATGCATTGAATGCAGTTTTATTGTTTTTAGTATCGGTCTTTTTATTCAGATCAATCCTCAATCTATGGAAGACGCTGGCGAGGTTAAGGGTACAGAGAGCCAGCACTCTTTTCCCCATCCCACACCTTAATCGACACTTGCCCATAACTTCATAGTTCCACTAATAAATATGCAACATTTATGAGAGCACTCTCTGGAAATGCCATACCTTCCGCCCAGTGCACCTTGGCTGCAGCATCCATTTGATGCTGAATTTGCTGTAATTTCTTTGTATGTGTGTGTGATTATCTATGAGAGCTGCCTGGCGGGGTGTCTCTGTGTGTGTGAGAGCGAGTGTAAGGTGTCTTTGGCTCCTGCTCTTGGCTCTTGGGCTCTTGGGCCCTTAGCCGGCTCTCGGCCTGCTCGCGTGCTTGGCTTGAGGAGGCCTCGAGGCCTCGGGTTGCTTTTGTTGCTTCCGTTGCATCCTTTTGGAGGTTTTTGCTGATGCCGCAGTCTTCTGCCACTGCCTCCGTCTCTGCCACTTTTTGTCATTTTTACTACGGCACCGGAAACTAATTCCTGCCCCGCAACGACTTTTACTCCACCCTTGCTGCTCCTCCCTGTCTCTCCATACTGCCGCTTCTCTGGTTTCATGTTTATGCCTCATTCTTCGTAGCGCATGCCAAAAAAAACAAGAGAAAAATCAGAGAAAGACAGAGACAAGAGAAAGAGAGAGAGAGAGCGAGAGAGAAACGGGTCTCCGTCTCCAGCTTTGGAAGTTCAAGCGAAAAACGCGCGCGGTTCGGCAGAAAGCCCGCCAATTTTATGGGCCAAACCCGATAAGATTTCATTTGTTTACGAGTTACCTTGAGACGGACCCCAGACCCTGCCACTGCCACTCTGCCACAGTCCCAGCAACAGCCAGAACAGAACTCCAAGAAGAACTCCAAGCTGAAAAGGCGGCCATTGTTGGTGGAGTGGCGTGGAGTGGAGTGGATTGAAGGTTTCCCTTTTCCAATTCGATTTCTAGCTAATCCGTGAAGAAACCGAACTGTAGTTCTACAGCTGATAAAAGAGCGGTTTAATACCTTAAAACTTATCGATCCTTAAAGATCTGTCTGTCTGTAAAGTGATCAATCGTCACATGCATATGCTTAAAGATAGGAAAACATATAACATTCGCATATACCCAAGGCAGAAACCCCATCCATAAGTCTATCAAATGTGGTTGATAGCTCTTCCTGTCCGGATTTTCCGTAGATTTTAAGTATTTAGATCGATTGTGCCACTTGCTCTAACTTGCATTTATCTATTTTCTTAATTCTTTCCAGGGAAAATGTACGCTGTGATTGGCCGGAGACATGGCAAGATCCTGTCCGGAGACCTCACCCAGGGCAGCGGCAACTTCTCGGTCACCTGTCTGCTGCCGGTGATCGAGTCGTTCAACTTTGCCCAAGAGATGCGCAAGCAGACATCTGGCCTCGCCTGTCCCCAGCTGATGTTCAGCCACTGGGAGGTAAGTGGAGGTAGTGGCCCAGCCACAGACACAGTTCCAGCCCCAGCCCCAGCCACAGCCCATGTGGCAGATCTAACACTGATTGCGGCAGCTGTTGCTCTCTGCTGCTCTGCTTTTGGAGGAGGCACAAGTGCAGTCTGCAGTGTCTGACCATATGCCATGTGCGTGCTGCTGCTGCTGCTGCTGCTGCACGCTGCATGGATGCTAAAATCCCCTCTTTGGATCTGCCTTTCTCTCCCTTTCTGTGGTCGGTCTGTAACAAAATCTCAGCTTACGCTACGATCAACCTTCTGTTACCTTCTGTTCTTGTGGAAGTCTTATAAGCTAAACCACAGACAGCCGAAGCAGAAGCATCAACATGGCAACATGGCAACATGGCAACATGGCAACAGCGGCGGCACAGCAGCGGCAGCTTCGTTGGCAACAGTTGGACTGAAAGTTATATGGTCCATTTGAGGCTGCAGCTGTGTTTCAGATACAGTGAAAGCTCCATCGAAGGTACACTGTTCTTGTCTGCCCAGGGGATCGACCATGAGAGATTTTAAGTTCTCTTTCACTGTACATCTTCCATCGAGGTAACCCAAAGCCCCCACTAGCGACAGGCTTCCTCTCTCTTTCCTTCTCCTTCTCCTTCTCTCTCTCTCTCTCTCACTCACCATTTTGACCTTGTCGTGGGCCACAATTAAGACTCAAGTTGATGATTTTTTCCACTTTGTGTTGCTGTCTTTTGGCTTTTGGCAGCCCCAAAAGACGACACTGAAATGCTGACAGACGGCGGCTGAAATGTGCGAGAGTCAAACAGCGGATGAGCCAAGAGATGGAATGGGATCCAAGCAGCGGATGAGGCAGAAAAAAAATATGATTAATAAAGTCGGAACAGCCCACAAAAGTGGGTATAACAGAGTGTTTGTTTCTTTAATCTTGAAACAGAATCCTGAACAAGAAATCGCATTTTGTAAATCAGTAGAAAGTAAATTGAGAATAGAATAATTGCAGAAAGAGGAACGTGTTTTTCAAATGGAATATCTATCAATATTTTGGGTGTATTCGTAGTATCCTCTAGAATCATAGATCATAGACCGAGATCAAGCTAACATTTACTCCAAACTCCCATCAAGAAAACCTTTTTGTATTCTATAGCTTTGTCGCCTGCACAAGAGATGCTTCCAATGTTCGTGTATTCTGTCTGAGTATTGGTCAACTATCCGCTCTATCAACTATCAGTGTGTCTGTTTGTGTGTGTGTGTGTGTGTGTGTGTGTGTGTGTGTGGTGTATATCGCCCAACCAATCGATAACAACAAGTTTTTGTATAATGACTTCCGGCGATTTTCTATTTCTCAGCTAAAGTTTTGCCGGCGACGACTACGAGATGCTGCCGCCGGTTGTTGGGTCTCTTCTGGTCTTCATATAATTTCATACGCATTTCCAGACAGCAACAGCAGCAGCAGCAGCAGTAGGGGGGAGGGAGTCGGGGTATCTTCATATCTTTGTGGAAATCTTAACGGAAACTAGTTTAGCAGGCACAAGTGGCACACGTATCTGACAGATACAATATTATTTCATTATTTTCCAACGAAGGTGAAGCTTCGGAGCAATTAGGATTCCACATTGCCAGCAGCTACCTTTCTTTCTCTTTCTCTTACTCGTTGGACAATTAAAACAGTTAGTGCAGCACTTTGTGCCCCGCCCACATGGTCACCTTTCCATGCCATTCCCCCCATTCACCATTCCCCATCCCTCCCCTATCCCCCCCTGTGTGTGGGCAGGGCAGCCCAACCGTGGGCGCAGTTGTCACGTGCCCATAATAACAACAACGAAGGCGTCAACGTCAACTCCACTCGAGTGGAGTCCCCAATTTTGTGGCAACGGGCAAAGGGAAAGGGTTGGGATTGGGATTGGGGCTGGGACTGGGACTGGGACTGGGGTATGCGGAATATGGGCAGGGAATTTAAATTTCTTGCTGCATCATGCCTTACAATAAGTTCGTTAAGCTGCAGCATCAGCAACAGCAGCAGCAGCAGAACCAGTGGCAGCCCCAGCCAGCCACAAGAAATCATCTCTTTGGATGACCTTTTAACTTGGGGTTGAGCCCCAGCTGAAACAGAAACCGAAACTGAACAAAAAAAAAACACAAAAACAAAAAACTAATTTTCAGTTTTCAAAGTACGATGCATATATCATTTTTGTTTTTGTTTTTGCTTTTGGTTTTTGGTCTCTGCTGTGGTTTTTTCACTTCACGTAGCCGCATTAAGGCGGTTGACCAGAGGCTACAGAAGTCCGTAGAGACAGTGCGTACCATAACTAAAATATGGGCAAAACAGAAGGGATTTGTATCCATCCCCCTCCTGGGTGCTCCTCCTCCTGCTGCTGCTGTTTCTCTGGCTACTGTCTTGCGCGCTTTTGTTATTATTTAATTTTGTTCTTCCTTTTGTTTTTTTTCATCCCATTTTCCACTGGTGGTGCTGCTGTTGCACTTCTCCACTTTCTTGCCACTTGATGAGGCTGAAGATTGTTATTATGATTATGCCCCGCGTATGTGTGTGTGTGTGAGTGTGTGCCAGAGGTAGGGGCAGGAAGAGGTTCAAGACCTTAGCCCCAACTCCTTACCCAAAAAAAAAAAACAAAACAACAAAAATGAAGGAGAAGGAGAAGGAAAAATAACATCACAGCTTTGGCTACTGGTCTTACTTTTGGCCTGCTCCGTAGTGGGGTCTCTGCCACTGCCTCTGCCTGTGCCCTGGCTGGGATCAAATCGGATCGGATCTGTGCGCTGTTCTCCTCTCATTCGGAGTGTGTTGCATATGATTGTCGCGCTTTGCATGCAAGACCTCAACCCAAAACAAAACTACTTCAAAAGCATAACAGATGCAACACCAGCGGACCAGCGAACAGCCAACAGCCATCAGCGACCACAAAATGTGTGTAAGAACCAAGACAAATAACAAATAATCTGATAACTCGTTTTGTATACCTGAAAAAAAAGAGTGTTCCCCCAAAGCCACACCAAAGGGAAAGTCCACACCAAAGGGAGTGCAGAGAGAGAGAGAGAGAGAGAGAGAGAGATAGAGAGAGGGAGAGAGTGTGTAGGGGACTTGCTTGGGGACTAGGGATAGTGCTGTGGAGCACACTGGAGTGGAGAAGTGGAAGGGTAAGGGGGAAGGGGAAGACAGTGCCCTAAAGTCTGCCTGGTGCGAATCAACATACGAGTATATACACCAGTATGTGTTTGGGTATGGGTGTACCTGTATTAGTGCCGGCAAGTGTTTATCCAAGTGGCTATGGCTATGGCTGTGGCTGTGGCTGTGGCTGTGGCTATGGGCCCAAAAGGATTGTTGTTGGTCTTAAGTGGAACGTGGTTTGCATTGTCCGCTCGCTCGCTTGCTGTCAAAATGACGCTCGTCCGTGTCCCGTGGCCCCGAGGCTCTACAGATTCGAGACCCCGCGACTCGGGAGACTTTTACAGGCCGAGTATTTCTTGAATCAACTGAAATCCAAGGTACACTTTATTGGAAGGTAAGGCAGATGCCGATACAGATACAGATACAGATACCACTCCCTAAGTATACTAGATTTTCGAACACTCTTTGGTCTCTTTGTATTCTCTGAACAGTTTTTGTGCACTGCACTTACCTTATGCTTGAATATACCTTGCTCAAATCGACTCGCGGCTCTGTGGAGCCTTTTCTCTGGGCATGCGCAACGCCCAAACGAACGGCCATTTGTGGTCTGTCTCTGTCTCCATCTCTGGTTTTGGTTTTGGTTTTGGTTTTGGTTCTGGCTCTGTTTCTGGCGCGCGATAATAATCTCAAGTTGGTCTTTTGGTCGCGGTCTCAGCAGCGGACAAACAGACAGCGGACACGGGGACACAAACAGACAGATAGACGGACGGACGGACGGGTGGACGGACGCTCGGCGTATTTCGGTAGCTGCCGCGTAAATTACCTGCATACAAACACACTAACATTTCGAGAATACAGAACACACACACACATACTCGTATGTGTGGATGGATCCAGAGAAGCTTCTCTACTCTAGAGTTGATATTTGTATATGTATGTGTATAAATGTGTGTGTTTATGTCACGTCGTTTGCTTTTTGGATTTTTGTTTTGGTTTTCGCGGCTGCTTCAATATTTTTCTTAATATTTCTTTTACCCGCAGTAGGACAGGGGGGTGCGTTGAAAGAATTGAGGTAAAGATGGACAGGGGGATTGGGTAGAGGAAACTTTAGAGGAGATTGGGACTCTGACTTGTCTGCAATCTGGAGCGTGGTGCTGCATCGGCCGGTGTGGATGGATAAGCAAGCAACTCTTTGAGAGTGCTTCCAGGACACTGCCAGAAAGCTGTAGATTAACTGCAATGCAAAGTTCCATAGGATGAGCATGAAATCCCTAATATTCCTACAATATACATATGTACATATATACTAAGTGGGCCAAAGTATCAAAGTATTTCTCAAAGTATCCAAGTATTTGGCGTAAAGTCTTCTTGAAAACTTTCTCTGATCGTGGGCTAAACTAAATATACCTCTCGATTCTCAATACCATTAATATCGAACTATTTTCCTGTTTAATTCATTGGTCTAGGAACAGGGTCCCTCCATTTCCATATCAAAGCTTGTATTTCTACTATAGTTTTCTCTCAGTGATATCCACGCTGGATGGCTGGTTGGTTGCTCATTTGTCTGGGCCGGCTCAGACGCAAGCTCTGCGCACTTCTGGAGCACTTCAGCTGCCACAGGGTCTCCTTGTGCATCTCCTGCCCTTCTACTGCCCTTCCCTGCCCGCTCATTGTGTGCTCTTGACGAACCGTTGTGTTCTGTTCTGTTGTGTTGTGTTGGGTTGTGCGTAGGGCTGCCCAGAGAATGGTATGAGGATGAGGATGGGATGGGAAGTTCTTGCGCATGCGCAGCCGTTGGCGAAGGATGTCTGTCCGTCTTGTCTTATCTGTGTGTGAGTGTGTTGTGACAGGGACTGGAACTGCGACTGCGACTGAGATTGGGGATTGCCTTACCTTGTCGAGGACTACTGCATGGCTCCCCTCTCTCCGTTCTCCGTTCACCACTCTCCACTCTCTGCCCTTTCAGTTAGCGTTGTTAGTTGTTGTTAAACAAGCGAAACGTTGTGCCCGATAATGATCTACATGGGGGAACATGGGGGGGAGTAGGAATTGGAATGGGATCGGATCGGATCGGAGGAATGGGGTAGTGGGCAGGCCAGGCCACGTCGAGGGCCCGCAGTTTAGCGTAGTGCGAACAGATGGCTCGAAAAAAGAAGCAAACTCTGGCAGATCCTCAACCAGAGGGAAAAGGCCAACCCAACCGAAGCCATCCCAACGGCAGCGCGTCTCAATCAGTGTGTGGGTAAGCTCTTGCCTTGCCTTGCCATTGATGAGGATGAGTATGAGAATGATGGAATGGAATGGACTGGGCTGGAATGGTATTGAGGGAGTGGATGAAGAGGTTTTCCAATGAACAGCACGCCTGACACCCGCCCGCTGTGTCAACTCAAGTGTGAGTGTGTGTGCTGGCTGTGAATGCAAGTCCTTTAAACAAAACAGAACGGAACCCAAACGGAATACAAAAAACAAAAAACCAACACACAACCAAACCCCAGAGGACAGGAGGAGAGTGTCTCTACTCTCAAGTGCTCGCAGGAGGAGGCAATCATCAATCAAGGGACCAGGGAGACGGAGCGGGAGAGGAAGACAGAGACTGAAAGGGAACTTCTTCACGCCATTCAGCAAAATATTTCTGCGTATCCTGGTGTGCCTTATCACGCAATGGCGAGTCCTTTGAAAGTCATTAAACCTTCTTCGGCCCTAGACCCATTTGAATGTCTTCGCTGTCCTTTGTGGCACCCTCTTGAGCCTGACAATGAAGATGTGAAAATGCACGCTTTCCCTGATGAGGCCACGGCCGGCAGACAACAGCAAACGCCAGGCAGAGGCATCACGTAAACGTAAATCCAATCACGGACCTTAGTCCCAGGTCCGGTATTTTGGTCTTCAGGCCTTCCTGAGGCTGAAACGTAGGCGCAGGCGCAGGCGCATAGACCGAGCGACGCCTTTTGTTCCGTCTCAAGTGCGTAAATGATTTCCTGGAACTTTATTCACACCGAATTCGTTGTCTGTCTGCTTACAGGTGATTGATATCGATCCCTTCTGGCTGCCCACAACCGAGGAGGAACTGATGCACTTCGGCGAGAAAGCCGACTCCGCCAACCGGGCCAAGGTCTACATGGACAGTGTGCGGCGTCGCAAGGGCCTCTTCGTGGACGAACAGGTGGTGGAGCATGCCGAGAAGCAACGCACCCTCTCCAAGAACAAGTGATTCAAGGTAAGAATCTATGGTATATAATGTATGTCTTTTTATTGCTAAACGAAAAAAAAATTAAAAAAAAAAAAATGGAGATGCAGCGTCCAGCTAGTATTTTTCCTCCTCTTGTGGCGTCGCCAAGGCCGTTTCGGGGTTGATCAGGCCGCTCTCATTCTCGGCAACTTCGGGGACGGCCAACGAATTCCTGCCCAGAATGATGTGAATGCATCTGCAAGAGAGTAGGATTCATACCGGAAAGGATATTTCAGGTCGTGCTGCCACTTACAGTATCAGAAGAAAGACCGCCATCTGGGTGGCGATGGTCAGCATGAAGACATCCCCTCCGTAGTTGGCGTCCAGGCTAGCGCGATAGATCTGCGAGTAGCAGACCCCACTGATGAACGGCACCGCATTGTCGCATACAGAGAGCAGGGCAAAGACCTTGCCACGCTCCGAAGTGGGGACTACCTTGGAGGTCATGGCCCGAATCATGGGACCCACAATCGGCCCCAGACTGCAGACCACGGCCCCGGCATAGAGCAGTTTCGGAGTGGCGGCAAAAAAGTAGAACAGTCGGGCTATCGAGTGGGCAAAGGCGCCAATGAAGATGATGGTCTGGAGTGGATCATGGAAATAGATTGAGCTTGTATTTCTGCTGGGGCTTGCTGTGTCTTACCGTATCACGCCACCCCAAAACTTTGTTCATGAGCGGCACTGCCAGGAGCATGGCAATCACATATGCCGACGACTTGAAGGTCTTGAAGCTGCTGAAGGAGCTTACCTCCCACTTGAACTTGTCCAGCGTGTAGAGATAGAGGTAGCTGCCCTCGTCCCGCTGGAATGTGTACAGCGCCATGCTGACGAGCAGGATGATGAGGAAGCTGCGGCGATGGCCCTGGCGGGTCTTCGACAGCACGCTGAACGAGTCCTTCACGTGCTGCTTGTCGAAGAAGTCGCCCCAAATGCCACAGCAGCCCAACTCTCTCAGCGAGCGTTGTCGGGGCGTGGTTTGCCACTAAGAAGGGGTCGAATAAGGACAGTTCTGGATGGGATCTCAACCCGAACTCACCTTCAGGGCGAACAGTGTGTAGAGGATGGCCAGCGCCAGCAGGGAGGCGTTTACCAAAAACATATCCGCATACGACTGGTGGAAGGTGTTGTAGAAGAGGTGCGAGCCGAGTGCCACGCCCGTGGGCATGGCACTCAGATACACCACGTCCAATATGGTCACCCGGATGGTGCGCTGCTCCAGCGTGGATATGTCCGAAATGTAGGCAAAGCATGAGGCAAAAATGGCCACATCGGCCCCCGTCAGAGCCGAGGGCAGGGTGGCCGTGTAGATGATATTCTGCACCGGCCAATGGGGCATCTTGGCATTCACCACAATCATCGTTGAGTAGATGAACTTACCCACCAGTCCCATCAGCAGCGGCAGCTTCCGGCCGCGTCGATCCGAGAAGGAGCCCAGGAACAGAGCCATGACGATAGGGAAGATGTGGGCGGAGATGTTCTCCCACTGCAGGAACCAGGCGGTGGTCTCCAGCGACTGCTTCTTGTACGCCTCGTTCTCGGCCTTGTGGATGTTGGTGCAGATCGCCTCGCTAAAGTTGTTGTTCACGCGGCAGGCCTTGTACAGGAAAAAGCTCTGCTCCACCACGGAGGTAATCATGAAGGCAAACATGTAGAGGAACATGGTCGGCTCCACGGACGTGGAGGTGATAACAAGCCATAGCCATTGGCAGGCGCTGCGACAATGCCCACATCCCTCCACCTCTCCCTCCTGCTCGACCACTGCCACTTCTCCGCCTACAATGCTAGTCGCGCTCGTTTGGCTGCCGATGCTGCGACGTCGTTGCGTTTCATTTCGTGCGGATGCCTGAAAGTATGCAATGGGCTTTTAAGCGCTAACCAAATTTCTCTCTTCTGGCAATGCCAAGCTAAATCACTAGAAATAAAATCCGGTTATCAGTAGAACGTACTCTAAAAAGCCGCGTCGTTTTCACTCATTTGAAGGGTTAGTTTTCACAGTTCACTGCTCTCCCAATTCGACGACTGGCTGCACTGCATGTAAACAAAGCGATAAGCGAGTGTTGTGTGCTTCCTGAATTACATTATTTGTTGTTAGTTTTTAGTTGTTAGGGGAATATCAGCAGCACCATGGGAATGTCGCCGCGTAGCACTTTGAATCAATAATGAAAGCATTGCCCACAAAATTGTATACAAAACATATGGTCTTGGCTGTCTCTAATTTTCAAGGTCAGCCACATCATGCTTCGAGTCAGTCGTTTCGAGTGTTTTTTCTTCTATCTGGTTTCTGCTTTCGAGCATCACTCTTACGTAATCATCGGGAGCATCGCGCTGTGCCAATTTGCGTCTATTTTTTTCCGCGGAATATTGAAATTAATTGTATTAAGCATTTGTTTTTCCCTGTAGCAGGCACTGCGCGCGCTTGCTAAATTCAGCCAGCACCAACAACACACTGTTTACTCGAAACACATTTGACACTCACCTCTGTCGCGCTCATTTCGACAATGCGCACACGCAGCGCTCTCGCTCTTTGTGGCCGACCGAATATATAGCTTCGTCTCTTGATTAGGTGGAGGTTTAGGTCTGGCGAAAGCTTTTATGCTTTTATGCTCTCTTTGCAGCAGCAGCTTTCGATTTGAATTTGAAAAGTATCCCGCTTCTTCAGTTTTGACGCTCCGCCAATTTGTGACTCGATTTACAAATTAACAGCTAATAGGCGTCCTGATACGTTTTCTCCACTTTATCACACGTGGAAGGGCACTATTATCACTGGCACTCCACACACCTCACCACTGTTTGCTCATTTTAATTAGCGTCTCAACCAACTTTATTGTTTGGTCTTTCCACAGGCTTATCTGCCGCAAAAGCCGCACAATTGTTCACTATCCGTTCAAGATCAATATTTTGCAAAAAGAAGATAGCCAGAGGCAATACCCACGATAACGGCGGCTATAAAGTTTAATTATAGTCTAATTGATTTAAGATTTTCACAATTACCATCCATTAAGAGTGATAACTGTTGACTGAGACCACTGGAACCGGACTATAGCGATGGGGCCAGCTGTTGCTGCACTGATTTACTGTTTACAATAGCCTTTGTGGTCCCTCTGTGTATTATATTTCAGCTTGTGCACAAGCTCTAGCACCATTTCTAACCAATCCGTGCGATCTCGCCATGTGCAGCTCAGATTCCTCCGTTAATTTAATACCTTGCTCGCCTCTCTTATCAGGAAAAAACGCTGATACTGAACTCGCCGCCAGAGCGTCGAGTGGTGTCGTGGATGGAATGGGGCATTCAATTTTCTGTTTATTTATTAATTTCAGTCTGAGAATTCAGCCTTTTGATATCTTACGTTCCTTTCTAGGTTTCCACAAAGCTTCTTGGGATGACAATGGACTGCCGGATTTTTTATAAGATGCAGACATTCATTTGTATAAAACTTAATTGTAAAAGAACATTATGGGTTCAAATTTAAATAAATATTTTTTTGTATAAAGATATACTGTTACTGGTACGCGATTACTTGCAAATGGAATGATCATGATTCTTGCAAATATCGTAAAATATGTATGTCCTTGTTTCTAATGCCAATCCCGATCCCGAAATGACATGCCACGCCCTGATCGGCCCATAAATAGTCGAGATATAGCCAAAGAAAGAAAAAAAGCCAAAATCCGACATCAATGGGCAAAAAAATTATTTTTTAATTAAGCAGCATATTGAAAAAATGTGTTGCATACCTTTGGGGGCTAAAAAAATTAAAATATACAAAATTTTTAAAAACCACCGGTTTGCGCAGTAAAAGTTTCCAAATAATCACAAAGTGCATTCTGTGTGTGCATCAACAAAGAACACATGAAAAAAATCCTCCGACCTCTGACGATCTCTGTTCGCCTGGTATCTCAAGATCTGAAAATTCTCTTGTTTGTTGAGGGCTGTTGATGTACAAGAAAAATGTATGTCTTTTTTTTTGAGAAAAATTGACAACAGCAACAAATTACAACAGGCCAGTTCTGTTTTATTGATTACACCGCTATTTGCGGCCAGATCTGGCATAATGATGGCTACCTGTGATCGGAAAAATGACCCCGACTTAATGGAGTCCTTATCAAGCACCAAGGATATTTTCAATGGGATTGAAAATTACAGGGGCTGCAGTGCAAACTTAAAAAACTTCTTCTGCAGTCCTTTATAATTAGCTTTCGAAAGTCACATTTTACTCGCAATTAAACTCGTTCATATATAACAGGATATTATATTTCTAGCCATCCAGATCGCTTGAACTAGCATCCAGCCCTCCGCCTGCGTCCTTACCAGCCAGCGTTGTAGACGACGGGAGTGGCCGCATAGGAAGTATGGACGAGGGAAGAGGCGTATGAGGTGTGGACGAGAGGAGATGCCGCGTAGCTGGTGATGACGGGAGCTGCATAGGTCTTCACCACGGGAGCGACAACATCCTGGACGACATGGGCAGAGCTGTGGACCACCGACTGGCTCTGGTGGGAGACAGAGGTGGGAACGCTCTTTACCACGGAACCAACATTGGCCAGGTAGGGCTCCTGCACGATGGTTGTGGTAGCCGGGGCGGAATAGACCAGCGGAGACTCATACAGATGGCCGGGACGAGCGACAGCTACGGCGAGGAGAGCAGACAACACCACCTGGAACAAATAATGGAGGAGGTTACCTATGAGGAGGACGACCGCTCGGATTCGGATGGATGACTTACCAATTTGAACATGTTGAGGGGATTTTGTGTTTTTGGTCTGTGTTGTGCTGCTGTGGAAGCGAATGAAGCTGACTGATAATGGGACAACTGAAAGACCAGTCTTATATAGTACGGGCATTGTCCATCGTCGTTATTTTCGGGGTAGTTGCCGTTGCCGTCGCAGCTGCGAAAAGATAAGTTTAATTAAAACATTTACGAGTGCAGGTACGATTTCAGTTGAGTTGACTTGAAAGCGAAATAAGTCTGCCCTCGCTCGGACAATAAAACATGCGACTTGCAATGGAAAGAAAAACTGAAACTCAAACTGAACCCAATACTCGTGATCCGAAACCAAAAGCTCACACACTCACTGCACGATGACTTGACCCTGACTCCCGCACCCAAAGTGCAAGTAATGCAGCCGCGGAGGAGTCGCCAGAGGCCCTCGAGAGTCTCTAATGGTCTCGGAACCACTCTGCTATACTCCGCTGTACTCTGCGTACTTGATTGGCTCTCGGCTAAGCCGTCCACCGACGCTAATTGCTTATTGATCGCGGCCCAGAATCTGATATGGGTTGGATTTCGGACTCGAATTGCGACGCGGCTTCGGTCCACACATCGATACTGTGGTCTGCGTATGCGTGTGGCTCGGCCCTGAAGGTCAAAGCCAAGTCTCTGCCCAAACGGGAGCTATATAAAACCACTGCAGCAGCTCCACAACCACACACAGTTCTCGCAAGAAGCTCAATCCGATCACTCCAATCCAAACAGTCAATACAGACCAAACTATTTCAAAATGTTCAAGTTGGTGGTATTGTCTGCTCTCCTCGCCGTAGCTGTCGCTCGTCCCGGCCATCTGTATGAGTCTCCGCTGGTCTATTCCGCCCCGGCTACCACAACCATCGTACAGGAGCCCTACCTGGCCAATGTTGGTTCCGTGGTAAAGAGCGTTCCCACCTCTGTCTCCCACCAGAGCCAGTCGGTGGTCCACAGCTCTGCCCATGTTGTCCAGGATGTTGTCGCCCCCGTGGTAAAGACCTATGCAGCTCCCGTCATCACCAGCTATGCGGCATCTCCTCTGGTCCACACCTCATACGCCTCTCCCCTCGTCCATACTTCGTATGCGGCCACTCCCGTCGTCTACAACGCTGGCTGGTAAGGACGCAGGCGGAGGGCTGGATGCTAGTTCAAGCGATCTGGATGGCTAGAAATATGATATTCCTGTTGCACATAAGCGAGCTTAGTTGCGAATAAAATGTGATTTTCGAAAGTTAATTGTCACATGTATTGCCTTCAGAAAACAGGACAACGGCCAACCATCGGCCTCATTTTCGTAGTCGAGATTTTGATGCCGTTCGACAGTCTGGACCCTCCCGATCCTGGGACAGTTGGTCCTGCCCCGATCTGGCCTTATTTATCTGAGATATAGCCTTCCGAAGATTTGAATTTGTCATTAAAATACTGGTTTCTTCTGCACGCTATATCTCTGTTACGCAGCGGCCGATCGGGCCGCGGCATGTCTTTTCGTGATCAGGAGAGTCCTGCCAATCGACTGCCATCGGAAAAAGGGACATCCATTTTTTCACGATTTTCGCAAAAAATCATGATGTAACCATCATTGAATTTGCCAAAAATCGGCCCCGTTTTTTTAGTCGAGATTTTGATGCCGTTCGACAGTCTGGACCCTCCCGATCCTGGGACAGTTGGTCCTGCCCCGATCTGGACCTATTTGTCTGAGATATAGCCTTCCGAAGATAAGGATTTGCATATCATGCAAATACTGGTTTTTTCTGCAAGCTATATCTCAGCTATACGGCGGCCGATCAGGGCGTGGCATGCCTTGTCGTGACCGGGAGAGTCCTGCCAACCGATTGGCACCAGAAAAAAGGACATCCATTCCATCACGATTTTCGCAAAAAATCATGATGTAACCATCATTGAATTTGCCAAAAATCGGCCCCGTTTTTTTAGTCGAGATTTTGATGCCGTTCGACAGTCTGGACCCTCCCGATCCTGGGACAGTTGGTCCTGCCCCGATCTGGACCTATTTGTCTGAGATATAGCCTTCCGAAGATAAGGATTTGCATATCATGCAAATACTGGTTTTTTCTGCAAGCTATATCTCAGCTATACGGCGGCCGATCAGGGCGTGGCATGCCTTGTCGTGACCGGGAGAGTCCTGCCAACCGATTGGCACCAGAAAATAGGACATCCATTCCATCACGATTTTCGCAAAAAATCATGATGTAACCATCATTGAATTTGCCAAAAATCGGCCCCGTTTTTTTAGTCGAGATTTTGATGCCGTTCGACAGTCTGGACCCTCCCGATCCTGGGACAGTTGGTCCTGCCCCGATCTGGCCCTATTTGTCTGAGATATAGCCTTCCGAAGATAAGGATTTGCATATCATGCAAATACTGGTTTCTTCTGTACGCTATATCTCGGCTGTAGGGCGGCCGATCGGGGCGTGGCATGTCTTTTCGTGATCGGGAGAGTCCTGCCAACCGATTGGCACCAGAAAAAGGGACATCCATTCCATCACGATTTTCGCAAAAAATCATGATGTAACCATCATTGAATTTGCCAAAAATCGGCCCCGTTTTTTTAGTCGAGATTTTGATGCCGTTCGACAGTCTGGACCCTCCCGATCCTGGGACAGTTGGTCCTGCCCCGATCTGGCCTTATTTATCTGAGATATAACCTTCCGAAGATTTGAATTTGCTTGTCATTAAAATACTGGTTTCTTCTGCAGGCTATATCTCTGCTATACGGCAGCCGATTGAGGCGCGGCATGTCTTTTCGTGATCAGGAGAGTCCTGCCAATCGACTGCCATCGGAAAAAGGGACATCCATTTTTTCACGATTTTCGCAAAAAATCATGATGTAACCATCATTGAATTTGCCAAAAATCGGCCCCGTTTTTTTAGTCGAGATTTTGATGCCGTTCGACAGTCTGGACCCTCCCGATCCTGGGACAGTTGGTCCTGCCACTATCTGGCCCTATTTGTCTGAGATATAGCCTTCGGAAGCTTTGGATTTGCACATCATGCAAATACTGGTTTTTTCTGCAAGCTATATCTCAGCTATACGGCGGCCGATCAGGGCGTGGCATACCTTGTCGTGACCGGGAGAGTCCTGCCAACCGATTGGCACCAGAAAAAAGGACATCCATTCCATCACGATTTTCGCAAAAAATCATGATGTAACCATCATTGAATTTGCCAAAAATCGGCCCCGTTTTTTTAGTCGAGATTTTGATGCCGTTCGACAGTCTGGACCCTCCCGATCCTGGGACAGTTGGTCCTGCCCCGATCTGGACCTATTTGTCTGAGATATAGCCTTCCGAAGATAAGGATTTGCATATCATGCAAATACTGGTTTTTTCTGCAAGCTATATCTCAGCTATACGGCGGCCGATCAGGGCGTGGCATGCCTTGTCGTGACCGGGAGAGTCCTGCCAACCGATTGGCACCAGAAAATAGGACATCCATTCCATCACGATTTTCGCAAAAAATCATGATGTAACCATCATTGAATTTGCCAAAAATCGGCCCCGTTTTTTTAGTCGAGATTTTGATGCCGTTCGACAGTCTGGACCCTCCCGATCCTGGGACAGTTGGTCCTGCCACTATCTGGCCCTATTTGTCTGAGATATAGCCTTCGGAAGCTTTGGATTTGCACATCATGCAAATACTGGTTTTTTCTGCAAGCTATATCTCAGCTATACGGCGGCCGATCAGGGCGTGGCATGCCTTGTCGTGACCGGGAGAGTCCTGCCAACCGATTGGCACCAGAAAAAAGGACATCCATTCCATCACGATTTTCGCAAAAAATCATTATGTAACCATCATTGAATTTGCCAAAAATCGGCCCCGTTTTTTTAGTCGAGATTTTGATGCCGTTCGACAGTCTGGACCCTCCCGATCCTGGGACAGTTGGTCCTGCCCCGATCTGGCCTTATTTATCTGAGATATAACCTTCCGAAGATTTGAATTTGCTTGTCATTAAAATACTGGTTTCTTCTGCAGGCTATATCTCTGCTATACGGCAGCCGATTGAGGCGCGGCATGTCTTTTCGTGATCAGGAGAGTCCTGCCAATCGACTGCCATCGGAAAAAGGGACATCCATTTTTTCACGATTTTCGCAAAAAATCATGATGTAACCATCATTGAATTTGCCAAAAATCGGCCCCGTTTTTTTAGTCGAGATTTTGATGCCGTTCGACAGTCTGGACCCTCCCGATCCTGGGACAGTTGGTCCTGCCCCGATCTGGCCTTAGTTATCTGAGATATAGCCTTCCGAAGATTTTAATTTATCATTAAAATACTGGTTTCTTCTGCACGCTATATCTCGGCTACGCAGCGGCCGATCGGGGCGCGGCATGTCTTTTCGTGATCAGGAGAGACCTGCCAATCGACTGCCATCGGAAAAAGGGACATCCATTTTTTCACGATTTTCGCAAAAAATCATGATGGTTACATCATTAAATTTGCCAAAAATCGGCTTCATTTTCGTAGTCGAGATTTTGATGCCGTTCGACAGTCTGGACCCTCCCGATCCTGGGACAGTTGGTCCTGCCCCGATCTGGCCCTATTTGTCTGAGATATAGCCTTCCGAAGATAAGGATTTGCATATCATGCAAATACTGGTTTTTTCTGCAAGCTATATCTCAGCTATACGGCGGCCGATCAGGGCGTGGCATGCCTTGTCGTGACCGGGAGAGTCCTGCCAACCGATTGGCACCAGAAAATAGGACATCCATTCCATCACGATTTTCGCAAAAAATCATGATGTAACCATCATTGAATTTGCCAAAAATCGGCCCCGTTTTTTTAGTCGAGATTTTGATGCCGTTCGACAGTCTGGACCCTCCCGATCCTGGGACAGTTGGTCCTGCCCCGATCTGGCCTTATTTATCTGAGATATAACCTTCCGAAGATAAGGATTTGCATATCATGCAAATACTGGTTTCTTCTGTACGCTATATCTCTGCTATACGGCAGCCGATTGAGGCGCGGCATGTCTTTTCGTGATCAGGAGAGTCCTGCCAATCGACTGCCATCGGAAAAAGGGACATCCATTTTTTCACGATTTTCGCAAAAAATCATGATGTAACCATCATTGAATTTGCCAAAAATCGGCCCCGTTTTTTTAGTCGAGATTTTGATGCCGTTCGACAGTCTGGACCCTCCCGATCCTGGGACAGTTGGTCCTGCCCCGATCTGGCCTTATTTATCTGAGATATAACCTTCCGAAGATTTGAATTTGCTTGTCATTAAAATACTGGTTTCTTCTGCAGGCTATATCTCTGCTATACGGCAGCCGATTGAGGCGCGGCATGTCTTTTCGTGATCAGGAGAGTCCTGCCAATCGACTGCCATCGGAAAAAGGGACATCCATTTTTTCACGATTTTCGCAAAAAATCATGATGTAACCATCATTGAATTTGCCAAAAATCGGCCCCGTTTTTTTAGTCGAGATTTTGATGCCGTTCGACAGTCTGGACCCTCCCGATCCTGGGACAGTTGGTCCTGCCCCGATCTGGCCTTAGTTATCTGAGATATAGCCTTCCGAAGATTTTAATTTATCATTAAAATACTGGTTTCTTCTGCACGCTATATCTCGGCTACGCAGCGGCCGATCGGGGCGCGGCATGTCTTTTCGTGATCAGGAGAGACCTGCCAATCGACTGCCATCGGAAAAAGGGACATCCATTTTTTCACGATTTTCGCAAAAAATCATGATGGTTACATCATTAAATTTGCCAAAAATCGGCTTCATTTTCGTAGTCGAGATTTTGATGCCGTTCGACAGTCTGGACCCTCCCGATCCTGGGACAGTTGGTCCTGCCCCGATCTGGCCCTATTTGTCTGAGATATAGCCTTCCGAAGATAAGGATTTGCATATCATGCAAATACTGGTTTTTTCTGCAAGCTATATCTCAGCTATACGGCGGCCGATCAGGGCGTGGCATGCCTTGTCGTGACCGGGAGAGTCCTGCCAACCGATTGGCACCAGAAAAAAGGACATCCATTCCATCACGATTTTCGCAAAAAATCATGATGTAACCATCATTTAATTTGCCAAAAATCGGCCCCGTTTTTTTAGTCGAGATTTTGATGCCGTTCGACAGTCTGGACCCTCCCGATCCTGGGAC